AGGATAGAGTTAGGTGGAAACAGATGATTCGCTGTAGTGACCCCTAACGGGAACAGCTGAAAGAAGAAGAAGATAGAGAGAGAGAGAGACTTGGCTCCAATAATAATATTTTACTTTTTTGTTACACCTGATGTATTTATTAGTTGGAAATTGTAATTTTATGTCTGTTACAACTATGATATACATTTAACTTTTATTCATTTTGTCTTTAATATTCCATCATACCAACCCTGATAAGCCAAACTAAGTATCATGGCTTCATTCTTTCTGCCGTTGTGTTGGGAACAACTCAATAGTTTTTCCTCATTACCCGGGCTTTACTTTGGTCCTTGTTACCCGGGCTTTACTTTGGTCCTTGTTATTCAAGCATGTGCAGCATGGCATCGTGAAAAGTCAGGAAGAACATAGAGGTCAGAATCTCACCATCAAAGGCTATACAGCTGTGTAGTCTCTCAAGCATGTACTCTGTCAGTACATGTTAATTGTAAATGGACATCATTTACAATATTCTGTATGTACACTTTACAATTTGCATTCACATTGGGTTTGTGTTTGTGATTCATTGTATAGCTCAGGGATACTAGAACATGTGGAAAGAACAAGTCAGAAGTTGAGTCAGTCTGTATTGATTGATCACATACCTGAAAAAGTGGTTTATGTGTTTGCACAGGCCACATTTACTTCATTTGGTAAGTATACAAGTGTTTTTAAGAAATGTTAATGAAAGTCACATCACATGACAGTATGTAAACATTAATATCTACACAGATGAACTCTGAGCACCTGATGTAATAAACAGTTCTAAAAATGAGGTTTTAATTACATGTGTATTATAGTACCATATTATATTAGAGTACCAATAAAGCCACAGCCAGTATCTGCTACAAGGACCATTTTCTGATGCTGTTGGTATACACTCACTGGCCACTTTATTAGGTACACCTGTACACTTGTATGCAGGTCAGTGCAGCACTTCCACCTTAATATCTGTGTTTATGAAGCTCAGAATGTTTCAGGTTTTGATGAAATTGTCATAAATGTATAAATTTAATTATATGTTTATTATTGACATCATATTTAAAGGTGGTGTTGTACTGGACTACATTATATTTAGAGGTGTCTATATTATTGTCCTCCCCAGCTACATACTTGAGAGGGTCAGAATATTAGGAACACCTATGAATATAATGTAGTCTTTGTCACTATTGCTGAAGGTGATCTGTGGCTCAGGAGGTAGAGCGGTCATCCCCTAATAGAAGGCCACCTGTTTCATTCTTGTTCTCCCCGGTCCACATGTCAAAGTGTCCTCGGATAAGACACTGAAACCCATGTTGCTCCTCAAACTGCCTCCAGGGTGGTGAACTGTCACTGTTGTTATAATCTGCAGCGCAACATAAAAAGCAAATCATTCCGCACATATTTTTAACACTAAAATGTGGAATTAAGAAAGAAGTTTCCTCTAAATGCTGTGTCATGCTATGGTTCACTAAATAAAAACAATTTGCCTTGTCTTCTTTACCTTTTTATAGTCAAATTTCTTTTTTATGGACTCTGGATGTTTCTCGAGGATGTGGAGCATGGCATCATGCAATGTTAAGAAGAACATCGATGGCTCAATTTCATCATCAAAGAAACAACATCTATGCAGTTTCTCCAGTACGTAGGCTGCAGGAGAGGAGCAAAAGTTTGTCAAAGTCTCTGGTTCAGTTGATATAAACATAAACAGTTTCTGACACCAGAAATGAACACAACATTAAAAAATAATGCATATTGTGGGTATATCTGTGTGCATATTTATTTATAGCTATATGCATACATGTATTTTAGCAAATGCTTTGAACATTTAATTGCACAAAAAATATGTGGGATAATGGGGCAGACATATTTGTGATGTATAGAGTCTGTGCATTTACAGTAGAAAAGTCAGCCTTAACCCTAAACCTTGTCCCAGATGTGTCTGAGTAAGTCAAGATTTAAATGTTGTTTCATACTTACTATCACAAGCCACAATGTAGACCTCAACTTCGACCCGGATCAGTTCCTTCAGTATCTGCAAAAAAGTTGAGCACAATTAAAAAAGAACAGCCTCAACAAATTAAGCATTTATGCTGTGACCTTAACAACTCACTGTTTTGAGTCCCTTCAGAGCAGAGATGTCCAGGAAAGAGACAGCAGCAAAGTCCAGAATCAGGCTATGGAGGTCTACTCTC